CTCCCCCCTTTTTTTTTTTTTTTTCTCCCTTCCCGTGTTGTCCCCGCTGCCTTTAGACCGCCCAGAGATACGGGAAGAAATTTACCAGAAGGACGACAGGCTCCTCACCTTGTTGAAAGATGTTTATGTCGAGTCCCGGGACCCCCCCGGGCAGGTGAGTGGCTCTCGATGGGACGCACACCAGCATCCGCTTTGTGGCTTTCAGACTCGGCAGAAATTCTGTGTAAAGTGCTCTGTTAGTGCCTAAAAGCTACCTTTTTTATAGACGAAAGTGATGTTTTCATTGCTGTCTTATGTATCAGTAGCACTGACTGTGTTTGACCTTGGGTCTTGAACATGCGACAACCTTTTAAATGCTTACGCAGTCTTCCTTTTTAACATCGCATCGATCTTACTTTGGTTTTCACCTAAATTCCCACTTCTGCTTCCTCTGAGGCAGAAGGACAGTTGGCCAGCCTTTTGCAGAGATGCAGGAGTTTGCTAGAGATCTCGTAGAGTCGTTAGAAGGAAAGAGATCGGGACTACAGTGAGAGCACGGATGGGGACAAAGACATTCACAGTTCTGTGGAGTCTTTAACTACTGATGTTAATGTCGTACTGCGCAGAGACTTGCTTATGCGGCTGAGGAAGTGCATTAGGTATTTTTCTGCATAACCTTCTGGATTGTTTGGTGATCAGTTCCCTCATTGCCAGTGGCTGCGGTCTTTGACTTGGAAAGCAAGGGGTACCCCTTCCAGTAAAATGCATACAGGGGTTCTGTTTCCTTTCCACCATGTTATGTTATGGCTTGTGCGTTTTACCTGTTGTATTATTGGACCACTTTATTACTGAATAAAGCAGCTAGAATAAAAGTTTTATAATCATCTAGCAATAATATTCCTAAGTCTCCCTAAGTTGCCACTTTCATAGTATCTTGTATTCAAGACCAGAAGTATTTAAAAATGCAGACGGATTTCTGCAGTTTTTCCCTGAAGCTTCCAAGTAATCTCTACCCTTAATTTTCTAAAGAGAGGTTAGGACTCTAATCCTGAAGTGCTGAAAGCCTAATTGCAGTATCTTTCAATATTCATTTGTAAGCCTGTCAAGAGAGATTTGAGAAAAAGCCAAAAGCGGAACGTATCTTAGTGCTTGATTCCGTGCGTGCTCTGAGGTTGCTGCCACATAAGACTTGCTCTTGTGGTGTGTCTGCCTGCATTTGTTAGGCAGAGCATGATTAATGTGTTGGCATGGAGGCTTGTGAGCAAAACTTCATCCAACAGCTTCCTTCTTTTCCTGATGTTATTCTGAATACTTTGTGCATCATGCATGGATACATACTTACATGTATATTTGGTATGTCTGTCTGTAGTAAGTGGAAAAGCACCAACTCTTAAGTCCTGAAGTGGCAGATACCCAGAGACAGATGATTTTGTTAAGACTTGAAAAACTGTTCATTATCTGAGCACAGTTTCAGCACAAAGTAAAAAGAAGAACTGGACAACTGGTAGCAGCATCAGATATTCTCTGCCGTTTAGAAGCAGACACACAGTTATAGATGCTGTAATGTCCACATCAGTTTTCTCAGCTTACAAGTTAATACAGAGTGGCTGTGGACTCTGGTGACTTCAAAAGTACTTTTCTTAAATTTAAGAAAGGTTTTCGTTGTGTCTTTTTTATGGCATCATTCACTGGTTAAATCTTAATACAAGGCAATATGGGGAAGGCAGAGCTGGTTTGGAAATGACTTCGAAATACGAGGAGACTTGGGAGAAGAGACTTCACGTATCTGAGCACTGCGGTAGTCATAGGAATTAAACTCTATATGATGCTGCAAAATAGTTTCTTTTTGTCCAGTAAGTCTTGTTCTCTAGACAGAGCAAAAGAAGGGATATCTTCTAGTAGCAAAACTAAAATCTGAAAATGAAAGGAAGGGGGGGAGAGAGCCTGTATGAAAAAGTTTTCAGTGGTGTCAGAAGAAGGATATCAATTTGCAGTATGATTTTTTTTTTTTTTTTCCCCCTTGCCATGAATCCGTACCAAATGCATTTATGTTTGGCTACCAAAACCTGTACTTTGCCTTGTATGAAGGGCTGCCGTGCCTGTCCAACACTTAGAGCTCAGTGGATGGTAGCTGTTCAGAATCTGGGGAGGCGTTGACATCGTATGTAGAATGACTGTGGAAGAACTCACAAGTTTTGTGGTATCAAGAGGCAAGGCTGGCTAAGCATTTTTTTTTTAATGCTATGAAAATGGGGAAAGCTAACAGGAAATGCCAAATTTAGGAAGACAGTTTAGCTGCTACAGTATGCGTAGTAAACAGAACTCATATTAAGCTCTTTTTGTTTTCCTTCCCACAATTAGGTAAAAGATGGAGGTGGTGAACATCTTCCGTGTAAACAGGAGGAAAAGAGACTTACAAAACTAGGCCACTTGGGAGAGCTAGATGTTAAGAAAGTTCCCAAAGGCAAAATTTCCATTGTGGAGGCTCTGACACTTCTTAATAATCATAAACTTCATCCTCAAATATGGACTGCAGAGAAAATAGCAGAGGAATACAGTCTGGAACTGGAGGAGGTCAACGCTCTTCTGGAATTCTTCATTCCTTTCACTGTGCAGGAATTTCCTAAAGAAACAAAAAAAGCTATAAAGGCAACATAAACATAATTACCAAAACCTTGTGTGATCTCACTCGTGTCTTAATTTTACTCTTGAGTATATTCAGTATCTGAAAAGAGTTGGGAACCTGTCATCCAACAAGGCTGCTTCCTTATACCTGTTAAAAGTATTCAAGCAATTCCATTCTGTACAGGATGGCTTCAGTTAAATGCATCAATTACATGATACAGGTTGTAAACCAGAATATGACTAATAAGTTGTATGAGAGCATGTCACGCGATTCTGATTATCCCATTCGTATGTTCTGACTTCATTTAAAACATGCAAGTTGTAGTGAGAACTTGACCTGAACAGGTTGCCTTTCTTAGCAGAGACTTCCTGGCCTCCAGCTCCGTTGGTGCTCTGTGTTTATCGGCTCTGCAGTTTCGTGTTGCAGTGTTCTTTCAAGAACTTGCTGTCAAGTTGCATGTGTATATATACAAGCAGCTGTATTTCTTTTGTATAAGAATGGAATAGTATTTATACTTTGTAAAGAAGGTTAACCACAAGATCATTTGGGAAATTCAGCTGTGTCAAAATAAAAAGATGAATAGCAAGAAGGCCTTTTTCTGATGCTGGGACGGTAATGGGTGGTGTGTAACTCTTTTTCCGCTCTGTTCTGATGTAGCTTAAATATCTGCACCTCCCCAGGTACTGTCTGTCAGCCAGTGAATAAGAGCGATGGTCTTCTAGCATCGGTCTCTTGCAGCAGTCTATGGCACCTACTGTGTAAGAAATAATGGTTCACATTATAATTAATAGGTAGCTATGAAATACAACTGGATCTACTAATTGGACCCACAAGTGGGTCTTCTGTCAATGTCTGCCTGTCCTGTTACAACAACCCCTTTTTCCCTATGGAGGCCTGGTCAGACTTACCCAAATGTGGGCTAGGTCAGGTCACGTTCACTCACAATAAGTTACCTACGTACTAGCAGACGGAAGATGAACAGTGTCCTTCCCAATTGTTAGCAAAGGAGGATGCAAACTGTGAGGTGGTAACGGTGGATTGTCACCTTCTGCGACTGTTCAGGTCTGTGCAGGTAAGGAAGAAGCTTTGCACTGATGATTAATACTGTAGTGAAAACTGGTTCACGTTTTCCAGCTTAATTAAAATTCATACTTAAAAACGCATTATGGTTACCTTTGTTCAAAAGAAACAAACACCCACAATTTTTTGTGGTGCTAATGTTCCTAGTGCCCATCACCAAAACAGTTGGATTTATTAAGGGGGTGCAAGTCAGTACCAGACCTACAATGTAACTTTCTTTTTTTCCTTTTAAGGAACTTTCTGCTAGGTCTTAAATTTCAGACCCTGGTAAATATCTTACCAAGAAGATGATCAGCGATGGAACAAGGTATTTGCAGTACAGTTTGCCACAGTGTATTCAAGGTTCTGCTTGATTAACTTCTGCAGCACGTAATGCTGTACCTTAGTGGAAGATTATACCTAAGTCCATTGTATAAAAATTCAAAATTGTTAGTCTTTAGATGTGTGGACTGGGGATGGGCTTGTCCTTCTTCCTGTAATGTAATGGGGACAGAGCCGCGCTCCGAACCTGATGCGTCTGAGTTATGTACCATATCGAGATTTTTTTGTTTTCCACATAGGACTCTTTTATGGAATGTTGCAACAGAAATACTTTACTGTTTGAGTACTGTTCATCCTAATGCAACATTTAAGGTAATACTCGGAAAGCAGCTGTGGAATGCATTTGGTACAGGTACTGTTATTGGAGATGCTGTGATTGCCTTCTTTAAAAATGAATCTTTAATTAGGTGTTGGAGTTGATTAAAAACTCGCTGCAGTTGGCACCAGACAACACCTTAATCATGGCTCTTGACTAACTTGGTATGTATTTTGGCTTCTTTTGTCTGCCTTTGTGAACTGTCTTGTGGTGTGGCTGTACCGTTACAGTACCCCGTTTCACATGGAAGGTCCCTAGAGGCATTATGGTATCCTGGTGCTCTGCTTACGCTCTGCAGCAGGCACGTGCTTTGGGACGCTTGGTGCTCCTCATGTTCAGTGCTCCAGCCATACCTTCAGGACCAAATCCTCTCCATGAATGAGACAATTGCAAAGCTATCCCTAGTTCCTCCAGGATCTTGTCCTCGGAATGTATCGTCCACGGTGGGGAAGCAGGCAGAGGTGGGCCAGGGATCCGTCTGCCTGGAAGCAGGTGAACTCCTGGTGGCCCAGAAGGCTCCTGTGTAGCAGGGAGCTTCTCCCTCACAGCGAGTTCACTTCAGGAAAATCGTACACAATGCAGTTTGCTGTCAGCACACGGATTCTGCTGCTGATCGCCTGCCCCACCTGCTGGGCAACGTCAAACCAGCATTGTGAAGGCATTGCTGATGGTATGGGACCATGTGAAACCTGGACCTTTATCTATCCAAAGCATCCATAGGCTGAACGTTTAGCTTTCACTGTCCCTTCAGACATGGAGTGTTTTACTTGCCCAAAGCTCACAAGAAGATCCAGGTCTTTGCTCTGGTGGGAAAGCCTGTCCCTGCTCAAGCACTCTCAACGCTACCACCTCGTCCTGTGTAGGCTACTGGCCATAGCCAGCCGCAAGGTCCTTGGCCAGTGTGTGCTTCAGCGGTGTTCGAGTGGGTCAGTGTTGGAAGGCAACGCCGGTTTTAGGGTTGATGCCTGGGACAAGGCTGTTCTCACTGTTGCATCTCTTCTAGAACTGCTTATTTCCTTTCTCCCAGTTTCAAGGGACTCCGCTCATCAGTTACCTTGCCTGCTTACCAGTTTCTGGTTTTGGCGCAGTTTCTAGTTGGAAGAATAATGGTGTTTTCTTTACACTTTTAACTTTTCAAGCAACTGTTTTGAAGAGGGAATTGTGGGGAATTTGTGGGAACATGCAATTCAGTTTTCTGGTACTTCTATGTGGAGAATTTTTCATGTTTCATTGCCGTGCATGCGGTGCACCAAATTTAGCTCAGATGTTTTTGGCCACCACATAGAATCATTACACTTGGTAGGAAACAACAACCAGCCTCACTCCGACGGCTTTGTTCTTGCCAAATTAATGTAAAATGTGTCGCAAGTATAAGCTTTTCAAGCCTATAAGGGGGTTGTTTAATTTCTAGTGTAAATGACACACGGTTAACGGACTTCTTTCTATGTGGCATTATTAAACCAGTTTTCCAGATGTCACTGAACAAAGCCAGGGCCGCCTTGGGCACTGAGACAGAGCAGGTACACAGGGCAGGCTGTGCCTCATTTGGAAATGAGGGTTACATTCCTGGTGAGACATAAAATTGAATTTCTACAGGGGAGTTCCAGCAGGTATACTGGAATTCCTGGCTTGAATTTTTCCAAAAAATGTCTCTTTTTAGAGGCAGTCTAGTAGCTCACTTACCTGTGTTTTCTGGGACATGGTCCCGTTCCTCTAGCCTTGTTCTATCCTGAAGCCTATTGCCAGCCTTCTCTGCTATGGAAACTTTATGCAGCTGCACTCTCTGCTCTTCACTGGCTCCCATGCAAAAGTTGGTTGTATTCTGCACTCTCGGCATCAACAACCTGTTTTATTTCTGCAGAGCGCTCTTGCCTTCCCAGGAGTGGCACATCTGCTGAGGTAAAGATGAGAGGACTAAGCACATGTTTTGTTCTGCAGAATTTAGAATAGGAGAGATTTTCAAAAGAGATGTAGCTTGTCATACACCTTCAAAAGCTGCTCTTTTGGGATATGTGAAACTAAGTCATCTTGAGCCGTCTCACCAGGTATTAATGGTAGCTAGGTTCTTGCAGTCTGATGCCGAGACAGCGAGATTGGAGCTGTGAGGCAGGCAAGAGTTTTCACTCTGCTTTCTGTGCGCGCTAGTCAGAAGGAACTTCAGTACAAAAAGTGATCTTTCTGTAGCCTTCCAGCGCAGGGTACTTGCCTTTTAAGCTACCTCTTTTTGCTCAACCAGAAAAGAAAATGATGTTTATATGCGAGAGGTGTGTACTAAACTTACAAAATGGAATATCTTATTTCTGCACTGAATAATGGAGTCAAACCTCAAGTAGTCATAAAACAGGATCAAAATGCAAAACTTTAAAAAAGCAACTGTCTCACCTTGTTTCATAGGAGCATCCTGCATTCACATTTGAGATTCCATGAAGCTTCACATTTCATGGCTCCATTCTGGAGCCCCTTTCTAAACAGGAGTTTTCTGGTTCTCGGTGAGGCGGTGCCAGTGTTGAGCTGGCAGCAGGGGGGGTCTGAGCAGCACAGGTGAGCTTCAGGTGCACATGGGTTCTGGCACTTGAGACTGCGGAAGCTGTACGCCGACCAATGTGCTATTAACAATCCAAACGCTGTGTCGGTGCCTGGTGTTATTAGATCTGTTTCCAGCAATCTGTGAGTCTAATGAATTCCATAACCTTTCACAGAATAGGTATTGCTGTGCTGTTATCAGAGCTAAGTGTTTTCTGCTGACCCCCCCCACCCAAACATGGATAAATTTCTCTCAGAAACTTAACATTAGTTTTTGTGGTCTGAAACAGAGGCTTAGATTTACACAAGGCGACTGGAGGGAACGCACTGTGGGAGCTCCTGCGGCTCTGCGGGGTGGAGCGGGCTTTGATGTGTCCACTGCCAGAAGGAGAATTGAAAAAATAAATCTGCCAAGGTGGTTCAGATTCTATGACTGTCATGCAAGATCCCTTTTGGGTGGGGTTACTTCAGTGACTGAAGCTTTGTCTTTGGGTGAGATGTTTTGGCCCCCTGATGGGAGCTGTGCTGCTGTATTACCCAGGAGAGAAGCGACTGGGGGGCAGGACACACCCCATAATCATAGTATCATAGAATCACAGGTTGGAAAAGACCTCTAAGATCATCAGGTCCAACCATCCACCCAACACCACCATGCCTACTAAACCATATCCCAAAGTGCCACATCTACATGTTTTTTAAACACCTCCAGGGATGGGGACTCAACCACCTCCCTGGGAAGCCTGTTCCAACGCCTGACCGCTCTTTCAGTAAAGATATTTTTCCTAATATCCAATCTAAACCTCCCCTGGCACAACTTGAGGCCCTTGCCTCTTGTCCTATCGCTTGTTATTTGGAAGAAG